GGTAGCTTTGTGCGAAATTCAGCAACAAACAAACAAACCTCTCTTAAAAAGATATTCATGCACATATGAACAAAATATATTTATTAACTATATGTGAAAACACACAACTATGGCAGTAACTTACAGTAATTTTATTCAGCTAATTGTATTATATGAACTTACATTTCTAATCAGATTAGTTTATATTCTCCAAATTTGCACCATAGTAAGCACTTTTTGTATACTTACATAGCTGCTTGAAAAGTAGAGACACACAGATATCAAGTTACTATGTAGCTAGCGTTCGATTTCTCTAGTGTTCTAACATCAAAGTTACCACAGAAATTGAAACTACATTTTTTTATACATAAAGATCAACCGAGACTTCTATCTATATTATTTCCATGACGAGAAAGAGGAAGAGAATTATCAGGACGCAGCTGTTTTTGGTACTTGTTGTTATTGAGTCTAAACCTTCTTTATCTTCCACAACACTCGTTCTCGTTTTCTCTACTTCTCGGCTATTGTTGAGGTCCCTTTAGCATTAGGGTTCAAAGGTGTTTGTTAATGATTTGGTCCAGTTATTCAGCTTTAATAGCCTCACGTACAGTGTTATTGTTTGATGTTACATCTGTTTCATGTAACATTAAAGTCAGAGAAAAGTTTGCCTGCTATAACTCTGAACACATTGGTTCCTTAGTTTTACAGTGTGCTTACAGTTGATATGACACTGAACAGACAGAAGGGAATGCCTTAACTTGTATTTATAATTATATCACACATTCATACCCACAAAGATATGTTATAAACAAAACCGTTTTTTTTTTTTAACAGAAATTCGAAGATCCCCTGTTAATTGCAGACTTACGTGAAGTAGTGGCTAGGTTATTACTATGGCGGGAACTTCTTCCTGGTGTTGAAACTTTTTTCGGTAAGCTTCCGTAATCGATTTTTTTATTGCAACAGATACATTTCACGTATCTTAATTATTTGCTATTTTAAATACGAAGTTAAGAACGAAATTAATAACTAGTCGGTATTTTTGGACCTATAGAATATCATCAAGAGTATTGTGGTATTTTGCTTTTTCCTTGATTCATCACTCTTAGATATAGAGAAACTGTTTGCGTTGATAACTTAAAAACTTTTATGTTTATGTATCCGTCTATCATCGTTTGAAAAACCTTCTCTTGTTAAGTTTTCGCTTCGATTCCAGCCATGAAAAGCTGCGACAACGATGTAGTTCGAAGATTAATGGCCACGTTAGGTTCTGGTTTTGATTCTGCCAGTAAAGTAAGTATAAATATTTGTGTTTATCTTCGTATTATTTCACATACTTTTTTTCAATGATTTCTTTAAAACATATTAAACCTTGTATCAAGGTTAAACTATGTATTAATGTTGAATATGATTACAATCTGTGGTTTATTATTAATAACAATAGTCTCCGATATTCTTCCTGATGGTATGTATTTAATTTTAACCTTATAATTCATGGAGAGTTGATTTTCGTAGTTATTTCATCTATATCGTGTTATATTTAACAAATGTACTTGAAACTGAATTACGAAAAGTCAGTTTTCTAGCAGAGAAAGAAATAGCAGTGATACTTCTACAAAGCATCATTACGCAGTGTCTTTGTTTAAAACAAGAGTGTTGTGTTTCTAACCGATAGTATATTTCTGAAACAATGAGATAACGGGCATTTCAAACTAATGCGTTGTGTATATAAACAAGAAAAGGTGTCAAACCCATTATATGGCTAAATAGAAGCAGATATTGTTAAAACCAAGGTGGAGTATTTATATTTAAATTCAAAATGTGTTATAGCTAACGTATCATGTTTTAGTAACAGTAGAATGTGTCAAACCAATACAGTGTAATATTAAAACTTGTATTGAAAGCAATTGAAGAAATGGGTCAAGAAAGACGCTTCACTTTACATTCTGGACATGATGAAAACTAGAGCGTCTTAAAATGTCGTCCCTTTCCCTTGTATCCAGACATATTGTCTACTAGCGAAAGTACCCGGCTTCGCTCGGTTATTAGGTTGATAATATGTGTATTCTGAGCCCATTTTAGCAAAAAAGGTATAACCTATATACTTGTGTACTAAGCCCCATGATATAATAACCATTGTTGGAACGCATTGTTACCAAAACGCACTGGCTTTTTTATATATTAGAAGTTGTTATATAAAGAACCAGTTCTTTTCTATGCAGTTTTTCATTAAAAAAGATGCGCACGCGCATGTGCCTAACATAAATAATACCCAAGTGCACACCCTCAGGGTCCACTTAGTATGGGTGCAAAATTTCGGGTTTCTAGGTTCTTTCCTCTTGGAGTTATGGCGGTCACACATACACAGACAGACACGACACGCCCTTTTATTATTATAATCAACATTCATCATAACAATATAGTGTGTGTCTAAAACAACTTCAAGACAATTTCATGGAATTGGGGTAGAGGGTATCTTTAAAAGCAATCTGTCTAAACTATCGTACATATACACATTTATAGTGTGGCTAAAGCATCTTATAGAAGCTTGGCGTATTATTCTAATGACGTCAAAATAAAACTGAGATTCTCATGAGAAAATAACACAAACATTTTCATACCATATTTGATTATTGATATAAGCGTGTAGAAATTCAATAAATATGAACTCAAACATTTAGTCATCATGTTGTCATTGCATGCTGTTTGAGAAGCCGTGTTATGATCCATTGTGTATTTATAATGTACTTTGTGTTCGTAAACGTATTTGTTTGGTGATGGTAATATATAATTTCTAAATGTGTTTAGATCACACGAAATCATGCAACGTTGTTTCTTTACTTACTTTTAAGCAAGAAATTCAGAAATTACTAGAAATTGGAGTCAAGCCAACTAAAATAATATTTGCACATCCTGTGAAATTCCGAACGCACATAAAGTTTGCTGCGTCCGTCGGCGTCCATCTGATGACGTTTGACTGTGTGGAAGAGTTGCTGAAGATCCAAGAATGTGATCCAGAAGCCAGGTATCCATGATTCCGCAATCTTTACAATAAACAATACGTTCAGTGTTATGTTCTTTGAAGTGGTTGAATTCTTTAAGCTGGTTTCACTACTATCATAATTATACAACTTAAGTTGGTATGAGGAATCCTAAACTTTAGCAACATTTTAAAATATCCTAATCGTAAACTTAAGATTAATTTGTATGCAGTGTATATGGTCACATTTACAAAATAGCAGTATTTAATAAACAAAAATTAATTTTTATTTAATTTCTGTAGTGCATATTGATGCGTAAAAGACATTTTAATACTAGAAATAAACGACTTAATAACATCAACTTTGTTATTTATCTTTAATTGGACAGTCAACGTTTCGCTTTACAACTTCTTCGGAAGGTTCCATTAAAACACAAACCGTAACTGGCAGTACAAAGCTTCAAAATGTTTAAACCATTGTCTATTTGGTGTTAATAGATCGTTTATTTCTAGCGTTGAAAATTAATTCCTCTTTGATTTCGTTGATCACCAACTTGTTTGTAAATATTTAACAATATTTTCGTGACAATACGAAACAATAATACAGAATGTATACAATACTTTATTGTTGTTGTCGCTAATTCCAGTCTATGAAATGTTGCGTCAAATATATTTTTTATAGTTCATTACAGTTGTCATTTTAAAGATATCGATCTGTTAGCACTATATAGGTTAACAAGTAGAATGATATATTTAATAACATTTAAAATTGTATCTGATATCAAGTTGTTATCTCAAGATATTTGAAATATGTCTATTTATCAACGATCTTTCATATAATTAATCATATAACATAAAGAAATGTAATAGCTTTTACAGTGTTTTCTAAAAATAAAAATTATCAGTGAAGTGACGTTCAAAGGGTGTTTTTGTTATTTTATTATTTTCTAGGCTAGTTTTAAGGATTCGGCCCCCGTTAGAGTCTAGTTTATACCATCTTGGGGAAAAGTTTGGTTGTAGTCCAGATGAAGCTTGTCGTTTAGTGCAGAAGGCACGAGGTCTCAAGATGATTGTCGTGGGAATATCGTAAGTACACCATGTTACTAAGTAACTAGATGTATTTCCACAGGGTCACCGAAAGTGTTCTGTTTCAAGTTCGTATGTCATGCTGCGTTGTATCCTACAGAGAACAATATTTATTAGAAATATATCTAAATAATTACTGACAAACTTCAAAATAGCTTATTAAGTAATAGTAAATAGATTTTAACATGAAAATGTTAGAGATATCACAAAAATAGAAGATGTAAAATGACATAAATAATGAAATGGACAAAGCCAGTGAAAACATTATCTGATATTTTTTACAATTAATGAAGTAATTTTCCAGAATGCTTCAACATATCCATTGAGGCACTAATTACCAATGAGTAAATATTGAGTAAAAGTATTTTAATAACATCGAAACAATTGTATACATTACAAAAAATTTGTACTAATGAAGTAAAGTCTTATTTATATAAATAATGTGTCTCTCTTGAACTTTTCTCGATCAATCACTAGAAATCTATTATTGTTAGAAAAGCCTTCGTCCGAAGAGTCCGGATTGCATATTGACTTTTCAGTTTACAATCACTTTACCTGTTTTTTGCTCAGCAAAACTTTTTAATGCAACTTATATGGTACATGTTAGCACAATGTCGTTGTCACTGCGTGACGACTGGCTTCTATTTCAACTTCAGTTTTTTATTTGCAAAGTATTTCACACAAACAACACTTAACCCGCGTGTACTTTCTTAAAAAAATAACATTGCACTATATACAATTGCTATGGGCTTTCTCGACATATTTAAGTCTAAAATACGCATGCGCAGTTCGTTCAAAACCATATGCTTATCACGTTGTGAACACACATTCAGACGTTCCTGCATATACAGCTAATATTGCATTCATTACAACTTTACATTTACTTAACTTGATAATAATTTAGCTTCGGTTCGTTTCATAAACTGCTATAAATACCGTGTCTTTATTGTGTACTTTATGTGTAGTTCTATTAAATAAATCTACGTCTACGTGAGTTTGTTTGTCTGACTACGTAACAGTTTTTCAAATAGACCAGGATTTATTGATCTAACACAAGAAAGCATTGTTTAAATGGCGTGGTTGATAAGGAAGATGGGTATGAAAACTACCAGTAGTGGCTAGTATTTATATAAGAAACTAAATGAAGTACATTTATTTGAAAACAGATGACTTCAAAGTCCATACATAACCTTTAGTGAGTGATGATAGGATAAAGATAAAGGGAGACATTGATGAAAGGTGAGGATTGTCAACGACATAGCCTCATAGATGAAAATAAATTTGGAAGAGTTATAAAATAATATATGTCGTTCACACAAAATACCCCCCCCCCTCTCAGTGGCTCAAATGTAAATCATCAGACTACGATGTTAAAAATAAATTGGGCTTAGATACCCATGGTGGGCAGAACACTGATAGCCTATTGTGTAGCTTTGTGTTTAGCACAGCAACAACATTAATAAAAAATAATAATTATTTG